AATATTATGGTTGCATATTAGTCATTCTAATAAATGGGGTAAATCACCTCCATAATCACCCCACAAATGTTCTATGGGGTGATTATGGAGGTACATCATTGTCTTTGAACATTATACAGTAACCATCCTCACATATGTGAAGGATGCTTGTGATCATTGTTCTATCAGAATATGAAGTTATTCTCTAATCACAATGTCTGCACACTACTTTTAAATTTTTCTTTAAAATACTTAAATAATCATAGCTGTTCATTGTACTATCAATGAATTTTAAATGTTTCAACTCCACCAGCTGCCTACACCCTCACATCACATTACCACCCCCATATTTAAAAATGGCACTTGTATTCTTTGTTTGAAATTCTGGTTGGGCTTATGCCACAGATATTCTCCTCCAACAGAGCCAGACATATAATATATTAGATATATCATCACTAAATAACATGCACTTTCAAGTCTTCCAATTTCCCTACATATAAATGCAAATTCTGAAGCTTCTATTGCTTTAAAAACTCAATGGTTTCAGTCTGACAGTGCAACAACCTCCTGAACAAACTTTTTAATGAACATCCACAACCAGTAATGTTTTCTGTGTGCATCCAGCAAAATTTTCCTCAATACCAATCCTGAGTATGGAAGGACCTAAACCAGACTTTATAATCTATACAGATGGATCCAAACAGGAACAAAAGATGGGGGCAGCTTTTGTTATTTCTAAAGGACAACAATTTTACCCACTTCAAACTGAACATTATCATTTAGAAGAATTCTGCACAGTTTTACAATCACAACTTTATGCCATACATCAAGCAGTTCACCAGATCAGCAACATGAGGATAACCAAAAAACACATAAAATCTGTACTGATAGTTTAACTGCCATTCATAAACTAAAGACTCCTAACTGTTACTTCTCCCACCTTGTCCATTCAGATATATTACACAATGTAAGAACGCCGTTTGGGGGAAATTTTATTCGCTACCGTCAGGATGGTCTAAGATCTAAGCATATGTGGGTGGCAGTTTTGAGAGGCAGCAAAAGACAAGTGTTTAACAAAGAAACCATTTATTCTTGTCAAAAATGCTTACATACTTTTAGAAAAAGGTCCTTCGATTCAAAACTTTAAGATGTCTTCGGTCCTATCGATTGGATGACTGATGTTTTTCTTTCTTTCAAGCTGAAGAGAAGCCCGGGGCGATGACGTGTTAAAGTTCAGAGTCGAACAGTCACAACATAGCGGCAAGTGGAAGCACCAAGAGAAGAGGATGACGAATACCACAGGTGTACTTGACAGGGGACTTTAGTGGAAGTCTCGTTGTCCTTGGAATCGGTGTTTTTATAAATTTTTCGAGATCGACTTGTTGCTAATTGGACATTACATCATCGCTTTCTTATTGTTCTTCCACCCGTCTCTAGGTGTAAATGGAGCTTTGTAAAGTTTGCGGGAAAGGTCGGCTGGAGATGGTTTATCCAACACTGTCTTTTAGACTCTGATCGTGTTTAATTGTTGACTATGATACCTATGCTCATTTTGATATTTTTTTAGTTTTGTTTTGCTTTCTAAACTGTGTCTTAACTTTAATATTTTAAATTTTCTTTTTCTATATCTAAAATTTGGTTTTTCCGTCTACTTTTGATGAGCATCAACATCAAAGTCCAGTGTCACCGTTTTGACACTTATAGGCTTATAATGTGTTTTCTTGTTGGTTTAACTTAACAAATTTTTACATATCTTTCTTTTTGGGGGTTATTTCCGGGCCTCACAACAACAAGTTCATTCATCTAACCTGGGTGAAAGGTCATTCTGGTCTCCTGGGGAATGAGATGGCAGATTATCAGGCTAAAATGGGGGCCAGTTGTTCCTCCCCTGTTGAGTTTAATAAAATTCCATATACTTCCATTAAAAACACTATCTTCCTTACAGCCATTCATCTCTGGCAAAGACAGTGGAATCATTGTTCTACAGGCAGGATAACATACTCTTTTTTCCCCATGCATCTAAAGAAGACTAAACATGGACTTCTTCAAAACCAGTCATTCCATCTCACAAGCCACTCAGGAGATGGAAACTTCGAGGCTTATCTTCATAGGTTCTCACACAGGGACACCCCATCCCATTCTGCAGATATGATGGGACATCTATCCAAGACCCGCATCACTACATATACCAATGCAGCAAGTTTAAACAGCAACATGCATTATTAATACAGATAATCATTCCACAGGGATTTAGTTGGCCCTGTCCTCCAGTCTCCTTTTTCAACAGTCTCAAGAACTTTATTGACTCAACTCGAGCACTAATATCAGATGTTCAACATACCTCAAATTGATTCACCTCTCTCTTGGATAATCTACAGTACCTCATGAAGAAAAATTTTATTCTGTTAATTGTCACATGAAAGTTTGAGGTATTGTAAATATTTTCAATATATGTTTTAGTTAATAACTTTTATTTAAACGTTTCTTATGTATTCAGCAATCTACTTTTATGTAAGTATTATTTATTTTAAATAGAAACCTCAAACCTCGAGGAATTGGAAATACTTTATATATATGTTTTATTTAAATAATGTGTATTTATTTCGATAACCTATCTTTATGTTAAATATTGAATTCTGTATATGAAAACCTCAAAGTTTGAGGGATTGTAAATATTTTATATATCTTTATTTAATAATTAGTATTAACTTCAGCAATCTACATTATATGTTAAGTGTAATGTTCTGTAAATAGAAACCTCATAGTTCAAGGGATTGTAATACGTGTTTTATTTAATAATTTTGTATACATGTTTACGTGTTTTATTTAATAATTTAGTTTTAAATTGGACAATCTACTTTTATGTTAAACATTATTTACTGTATATGGAAACCTCAAGTTAGAGGGAATGTAAATATTTTGTATATATGTTTTTATTTTATGATCTGTATTTTGTTTTGTCTCAATAAATGCAGCTAGAAGCCCACGGGCCTTCCTTTTTCATCCTGTTTCCTATTCTCCTTCATAGCATCACCTTCATCAACAACTTTCTTCATTTTCACCCCAGTAGTAGTCCTGGATTCATCCCCTATATACACTAAAGTGGCCTAAAGTCTAATAATGCATCCATGATAATTAGCCCTTCTTAAAACCTTCAGTATTTTTTTTTGTACTAACCTTTTTATTTTCAGATGTAGTTGTTTCTGCAGCTATTTACTTTTTAGTTTATTTTTACTTTATAATTTTTACTTCTTCTTGACGTGTTAATATTTTCATAATCCCGATCTATACTTTCAGAGTACATTGCCTCTTTTCAGAGTATCAATATTTTCTTCAAATGATATTGTAAATTTAACTAGAATAAAAAATAGTCGCAAGATGGGTCTAATTTTTATAATGCATAATGGCTAGTAATAGACAAATTTGAACTTTTAAGAAGTATTGAAGTATTAGAGTAAGAGTTTGAGAAAGAATTTACTTGTATGCAGATATTTTTGGCATGCATTTTGTAAGCAAGTTTGTTTTACATTTTATCATGTTTAGATACAATGCTCATGGTTTGAAAAAATTTTATATTTTCATAAACAACAACACATCAAGCAATTTATTAAACACAAAACAATGGAACTAGCTAATAATATCAAAATCTTCTGGGACATTTTAAAAAACTTTTAATAGCTGTATGCAGACTTTTTTCAGTCACTGTATATTACTAAAAACATCATGCAAATCAATATGTTAATTGCTGCAAATTTTATAATAATTCACTGCTAAAACTGTATCAAAACTATTATATTTCATCATATATTCATTATATTACTGACATGAAACTAATTAGTAAAATAGTTGTAAAATTTACGAAGCTTTATGTTCCTGAACTAATGATTTATGTTTTGTAATCTAGGGTTTAATAATCTATGAAGGTAAATTTAAAAATAGCATGGATATTCAATTATATATTAAAATAAACATAAATTACCAATAACTAGGCTATACTATATCTTACATACTTTTCCAGCAATATTTTAATTAAAAGCAAACGTGTTCTGCCCCGTTCAGATGTCTACCTTGGATTAACAATGTATGAATTACAAATTAAAGAAAAAAAGAAACTGAGTTATATCAGATTATTTCAAATTTACAACATTCGAATGTTGTTCACGTTTAGAACGTTCGAAAACATGTAAATTCGAAAGTCTTTTTCGAATGTTGTAAATTTGAAATAAGCTGTTATAACTCAGTTACGTATTTAAAATGCAGTCAAACAGCCATTTTATCATAAATACAATAGATATGATTTGACAACAGAACAAAAAACAAAATTGCGTGTAATTGGAATCATAAAATGAATATATTAATCATCGAATGGCAATGCCTTTATGAGTATAACGTATTCACGTAAATTTAAAAACAGAAAAATAATTTACAAAAAAAAAATAAATAAAATAAGATGTCACTTACACGTAACGTAAATTCGAATTTCACGTGTTTAAAATAACCGCTAAAAAGACAACCGCGCACCCTAACGGCCAAAAGTTGTATGTTTAAAATTATTAATTTTTAAATAATTATTATTTATTATAATAATTTAAAATCATCGCTATATAATTTTGTAATAAAATATTTTAGCAATAATATATAATAATTATGTGCATGCGCATAAATTACCTAACTTATCGCGTTAAATTAATAGGAAAACGATTAAATCGGAACGTGGGTCTTTACTTAATTCAAATAACGTAGCGATTAATGATAATATGAATATTATCTAGAATTTTCACGCGATGTAATATCGTTAGTATCTTTATTGCCGCATTGTATTACACTTCGCATAGGCGTTAACATACACGAGACAATGTTAAATGCTATTTAAATATAGGCTAACGTATAATTCGCCGAATGCTTTCTTATACTCGAGTATTCTTACAAAATTATGTATATAATAGATAATAATAATCGATAATTATTCGAATTATGACTTATAAATTAAATTTCCTTAATTTAAAACAATTCCCGATTACCTTGACCTCCTAATGTGGAATCTTCCCACACAAGCACGCACATTTTATAGGGATAATTGTTCGTTTAAAAATTCTGATAGTTTGCATTGTCCCTGACTTTCAATTTATATAAATATATATATATATTTTATATATTTTTTTTTTAAATATTCAACTTTTTTCGCATGGTTACGAAGCGAAATTACGCGACACACCTAAAATTTACTTATCGTCACTTGGAAATCTAGGTCTGTACTGTAACAATACGGCATATCTCGTTCGTGGCGAACCAGTTGGGTGAACAGCAAACTGTCAAGGTTCAAAGGTGTAAGGCTATTATGATCTTATTACAAACCCGAATAAAATTTTAGATAATTTGATATAAAGTCAGTTTCCATATAAATGAGATTATATTTTTATTCTAGGATTTAAAAAAAAAATCTAACTGTATGTGTTATCTGATTAAAATAAAAAAAAGTAAGTCAATGAATGTCTATATTTTCATTAATAAAATTAGATACGGTATGGATAGGATATTTTCAAAATGTGACAAATACATGAAGAATTCGGATAAAATTCAAATGTAGGTTAATAATTATTCTCATTCTTTTTTAAATTGTTTTTTTTTTTATTCGTATATACATTTACAAAATAACAAACTCAAGTTGAAAGAATATAATTTATAATTAGAGATTTAACAGTTTATATTACACTAGATAAAGTTTAGGCTATATGTTTATTCATTAATTAAAGCATTTTATTTTTATGATGTTTATCTCTTTGTTTTTTTAATAATAAAAATTTAATTAATTTTACAAATATATTTACATTTAATTTATCTTACATATAAAAATATTATGTATACAATGATAAAAGAATGAAAAAAAAAAAAACGTTCGATACCAATTATAACGATAAATAAAAATATTATCGCTAAATTACATAAGTTAAACGCTTATAAATGCGATTAATGCGTAACAAAATAAAATTTATATAAAACAATAGCAAATATTAAAAGTTACAGCTTTAGTATATTTAAAGCAGAAAATTTCCAATAAAAAAAATAATAATAATATTTTTAATTAAATAATTTGAATATTATTATTTTGCTGTACGTAACGTGATACACAACCTAATATTTAGAATTCCAAAAAGAATTTAATGATGTTATTGAATAAAACATTCTCAGAAAGTTTTATTATATTTTTACTATTATTATTTTTTGCGTAAAGTATTTATTATATAAACTTATTTTTTTTATGTGAGAATATAAAGCTATTGATTAATTTTCGTTAGAATTTTTGAACATTTCTATAAAATTAAAAATTAAATCATTCATGTATATATATATATACACACATGTATAAATATATTGCCTAGTCCTAAAATGTAGTAACTCACTTAAAATTTAATTTTTATAAAACATTTTATATTTTTGTTTTTATTTTAAATATGTTATTTGGTATGAATTCACGTAAACGTACCGTATTCGAATGACAAGCAAAGGTTTAGAGGAAAAAAATCTTGTGCAAGTTCCGCATCAAGCCTACAGATGGTACAGCTGTATAAAAGGCGATACGCATGCGCTTTTGCTGTTATAGAGTTGCAGACGGCATCATGTAAGCAAACACATGTCGGGAAGGAAGTTGGGCAATAAGTAATGCACTAAAGTCATTTTTTTTCGTCCGTTTTCAAAGAAAACATGATACGTTTTCTCAGCAAAAGGTTCGGAAGGACCCAGAAAAGTAAAGGAGATGGACAGACTAACGTTAGAAGCAGTAAAAATCTTCTTCCATGCAAAGTGATCCTATTAGATCTAGCTGATCTAACAGTTGACATTTCGGTAAGTTTTAATACCTCTTCGTTTTATTTTTTTATTTTTAATTTATATATATATATATAATTTCTTTCTAATTTAACTGCAATTATATTTTGAAGATGTTATACGCAATTTTCTGCTCTATTTCTCGTTCAAAAATTGCGACAAAGTGCAGCCTTATTCGGATTATAACAGCTCTAAGCAATGGTGTTTTTTTTTTTTTTTTTTTTGAGATTTTAAAACGGAAAATGGCCATTGTTTAGCCGTCAGCTGCTTTCTAGCTGTCTCCTGCACTCCTCTTCATCTCTAGTTACACTAGAAAAAGTTTTTGGGGGGGATTCTCGAGTATTGTATTCAGTTCTGACAATTGTGGAATACTAGCTTGTGACTACTCAACTGTAACTGTCCAGAAAAAAAACGCTATAACGGAATTGAACTTGCTGTTCATTAAAAGAAAGAAAACTGTCTTTTTTTTAAACGGGATTATTTCCATAAATAGTAATCTTAGTAGCAAATTTTTTTTCTGAGCATAAATATGCATTTATGCAATCCACGTCTGATTTATTTGATTTTGTATTGATTTTGTTGTACGTTGATTATCGATTAGTTTTAATTTTCCATTTGGTTGTTGAATATTTACCTAATAATGTATCACGTGATAATATTCCAGGGTAACCGGTTCTATCTTGGCCAGTTTAGGTCAAAACGATTGAATGTACTGTACACCTTTTCTTCCTTCAGGAATTGAGAGAAACTAGTTTTTTTTTTTTTTTTTAATATTTTCCCTTCGATAATTATGTGCATGCGCATAAATTACCTAACTTATCGCGTTAAATTAATAGGAAAACGATTAAATCGGAACGTGGGTCTTTACTTAATTCAAATAACGTAGCGATTAATGATAATATGAATATTATCTAGAATTTTCACGCGATGTAATATCGTTAGTATCTTTATTGCCGCATTGTATTACACTTCGCATAGGCGTTAACATACACGAGACAATGTTAAATGCTATTTAAATATAGGCTAACGTATAATTCGCCGAATGCTTTCTTATACTCGAGTATTCTTACAAAATTATGTATATAATAGATAATAATAATCGATAATTATTCGAATTATGACTTATAAATTAAATTTCCTTAATTTAAAACAATTCCCGATTACCTTGACCTCCTAATGTGGAATCTTCCCACACAAGCACGCACATTTTATAGGGATAATTGTTCGTTTAAAAATTCTGATAGTTTGCATTGTCCCTGACTTTCAATNACTTGTTTTTTTTTTTTTTTTTAATATATTCCCTTCGACATAAAAGATTTCATCTCTTGGTGAAGGGTATGCACTTTTTTTTATACCCTCCATGAGTGAGCTTTGTGCTAATAGTAACGCTGTTCCACGTAGTAGCCTACTTTCCTCTATAATACGTGGACATAAACCACTTATTATAAAGTTTTTACTATTTTAATCAAGTTAAAAATCTTCTTAATAAAATTAAAAGTATTGTATTATATTTTGAAATGACTAATATTTATTGATAAAAATATAATTATTTAGTTTATTTAAACTTAATAAAATCAATAATAATTGTTGCATTTTTTTTAAAACAAATTAAATAATCAATAGCTTTTATTATACTTTTAAAACTTATTAAACACTGATTGGTTAATAGAAAAAAAAATTAAAACAATAAATATATGTATTATATTAAAATGTAATGAAAATAAAATTTTATTGGCTCATTCAAAATAAATAAAATTAATTAAATTCGTTAAAATTTTTTAAAAATCACGAAAATGAACTCTCATTGGATAATTATAAAATATTCGAATTAACAATAGTAAATGTTTATTGGTTTAATTTTCTATTGGTATTCGCTTATTGGTTTAATTTTCTATTGGTATTCGCTTATTGGTTAAATTTAAAATGATAAAATTGAACATTTTTCATTGTTGTTTTTTTTTTCAAATTATAACTATTTATAATTAAATAATTCGATATAAAATTATACTAATAACAGTTACTAATATTTAGAAAAGTAAATAATATATAAGTTACTTATTATTTACTTTACATAGGCCTATATATAGCCTATATAAAAACGAATGAACAAATTTGCCAACGAAAACTTGTTATAGATAGTGACTTTTCATATTAATAATTTAAAAAATATGAACATAAAATTTAATAATGCATTTATTAGTCTTAATTGATGATAAATATAATTTTCTAAAATTCTAAACACTTTCTTTATGAACTCCAAATGGTTAAATTTACTCGAATACAATTCTTTTATCAAAACATAAATGGAGACTGGGTTGACTAGTCGCGTGTAAGGTTGCGAATTTAATCACGCAATCGCGTCACGACCTCGTTCTGCATGTTTAACATCACGAATCAGTTTCTTCTCTATGAAATTTATCAAGTCGATTCTATACTTTTCTTGTTATAGGAAAAAAATAAAAATAAAAAATAAAATAAAACAAATTGGATGAAAGAATTTACTACAATTTTATTTTTTAAGTTACAGAATTAACTTCTGGTTTTATTTAATATTTTCACACCGATTTAAATTCAAAATATTACTACCAGTCGACCTCCCTATAACACTGTTGATAATTCCGTTTTATATGAATTCCATGTTGTACGAGTCACTTAGATTTTACAAATACGTGTGCCGGGCTGTGAACGGGTCACGTATTTGTAAAATCTAAGTGACTCGTACAACATGGAATTCATATAAAACGGAATTATCAACAGTGTTATAGNAACTCCGCAAGGCACGTGGTCTGCGGTTACAGATATACGATAGAAAGAACAAAGGGAAGGACAATGAAAAATCGGTAGACACGTGTGATCAGGCAAACAAAGGTTTATTTTGGTAAAAGAAAAACGCGGTACAATATATATCTCAATAAACAGTCCAACACCCGACAGTTATTGTAACAAATAACGAAATAGCCTGACGTTCCCCTTTCCGTTAACCTTCCTCACGCGAGGCCCCGTTCTTTTTCGACAATTAAATATAGATCCGAAAATAAAAATATTGTGGACGGAGTACCTAAGGGACTTGCAAGGGTTCTGTCGTAGCGGTCCGATTGTGGGCTTCGATGGGGAATCTTCTTCTTTTCGAGTCGCAACTTCCTTTCTTCTACCAACGGTCCACTCTCTTCTCGGTCGCTCTTCTTTCCTTTTTCGTCTGCGGTTCTCTCCCTTTCTTTCTCGAAAAAGTCCAAGAGTCCTTTTCTTACTCCTTACACCCGCTTTTATAACTCCCTCCAACTCCGTCACACTGTCACGGACCAATCAGACGCCGGAAACTTAGCCATCGGCTAACAGGAGGCACCGAGGAAGGAAACGGAAGGGAAACGGTACAAATTATACGCGCGACGCGACAAAAACGGAAAACAAAAAAAAAAAAAAAAAAAAAAAAAAAATAGATTTAGTAATTTATAAAGCGATACTTTTCGAAGAATTC